TTGAAGTTGCCGAGAGGACCAGGTACGGTTTCTCAGTCTCGTGTTGTCTGTCGACTGGCGCTATTGGCTCGTGGGTGCTTTCATGTGGTGCCGAATATGTTGTGACGGCTGGCGCGAGAGGTGTAGCAGGGGGAACGTTAAGGAAGCCGCTCAAAAGAAGAGAGGGGCAGTGTAATGCTTTGTTTATGTGACGAAATGACGTTTGTTGGTCATTTTAGAATTGGTATGGCGCTTGTATTTGTGGAGTGGACTTCGGGCCATAACCAGGTACATTTGTCCTGTCGTCTCCAAAATACATATATCCAGCTGCAATTGCTGAATTTTTATACCAGACAGGAGGTCTTGGGACGCTGCACTTCAGATGATTCATATGTTTACTGCAATGCAAACAACATTTGTATTTAAAACAATGTTCATAATTTTTCATCAGATGCATAATCATGAATTCCGTATGATTAATGTCATGACCTATTTCATACAGCAATAATTAAATTTTTATTTTGCAGCACTGTTCAAAAAGGAAGAATTTTTAAGCTCTCATAGTGAAAACAATTTAAGAATATTAGTGCTCCTTGACCTTGACTAGCACTTTTGATTGGTTAGGTGGAGTTGGTGAGGTCTCTTGTTTTGCAGATTTTGTCGAGATGCTGTCCGTTGTGGTTTTGACTTGCTTAATCCCGTTCATTATTGCCACAGGCAAGTATCAGATTATTTACTTTGGTTTTATAGTTATTTTACTTTTTGACTTGTTAGCAATTCTGCTCTCGTTTCCTTTGTACTCCTTAACATGTAGTCGTGTTCCAATTTTTTTATTTTGTCTCTTTTTATCTAACAGTGCTAATGGGATTGAATGTTTTAGATCCCCCACCATGTGATGGCCATATCAAAGTAAAACCAGTCCATATGACGAAAGGTGGCGTATCATATGTCAAACTAACAGTCGATCATCATGAGCCTGTTGAAGTACATTTCTCTCTGGACCCTTTAATGAAGATCGATAAAGTAAAGTGGACTCTTAACGGACATCCCATTGACGTCGATCAAGATGAAACCAAAGCCGCCGTTTATTGGAAACGGGACCTATTTGGCATCGCCCTCATCATCCGTTATCCCAGTAAGTTGTATTCATTGATAACACGTGCCAAGGCGTCTCTTCCGAAAACCCTAAGTTTTAATCCCTTTTTGCTTCTTGTAGAGCAACAGTTCATTGGAAATTGGCAGATGGAAGTTTTTGATCCCGACGATGCATCTACAAAACAATCATGTCAACTGCAGTGTAAGTCACCTTTTTTATTTTAAAGTTTATAATAGCCTGTTTTTATTTTTAATCTTGGAACAAAGCGTTTACTTGTCCTATCGGATGTGAAATATCCTAACTCTTGTAGATCGACTCCACTTGTTTTATTTCAGTAGCTCGCTATCCTCTGCTACTACTTTCTGAGAATGCCTCTTTACTGGTTTAGAAATAAAGCATTAGATTTCTATCAGTTGAGATCAGATTTAAGGTTCATTTCAACCTTCCAATAAATACTTTTGTTACAACAATGATGAGTCCTTTTGTAATTTCAAGGTTTTGCATTATCTGAGAGAACTCAGTATGCCCACTGCTCTCTTTCATTCCATGATCGTTTTTATCTCATTTCCTGTATCACCCAACGCTGAGCTTGTACCATATGTCTAGCTCATTTACTGATGCGACTGGCTTAATTGGTCTGCCTAGTGCTGTACGCTCAACTTACTCCTTTTTGAGTTGGAGCTTTCGTTGCCGTTTTACTTTACTGATTTTGTCGCTTCAACATCGTGTTGACTGAGGCGATTTCATATTCATTATAGCGATTTGATTATAAATTATTTGCTATTCTACGTTGTACGATTGTTTGCACTCAAGTATATGTAGCGCCAGTTCCAAATAAGACAACTTAATGAGATGCTTCTCGTATCGATGTGATCAACGGCACGGTTTGCTGTTAAGAGGCGCCGAGTTGCAAACAAGACTGCTAACGTTTTGCGCTGAATAAAGCCATCACAAGATTTACAGCAGATGATTGCTATTGAACGTAACAGCAGAAGAAACCGCCTCTTGTCTCAGCTCAGGTTTTCCACATGGTCCAATAATTTATGGTCGTGTTGCATTTTATTGCGGCACTCGAGCTACTTTGAGGTGTAGCCTTGGCCTCTTCCTTGTTTGATGAAGGTTTGCATAGTTAAAGTACAATGCTGATGCACTTTCAGCTTCTTGCTTAGATCGTTGGCCCTATACATTTTCAATTTTTGCTTTTGTCCGGCTATTTGTTTTTGTGAAGTTTGACCAATTTACAGACAGAGACGTCCATTTCGAGTTTTGCGATGAAGTGGTACCACTTCTCACTCAGACACAACGTTGTACTCCAGGGCAAAAATAGCACAATACGTTCACCATAATTAGGAATTTCAATGGACTAATATCCTCTCCCGGGCTGAAGATGGAGTGTAATCATTGTCTTTTATTGTATATCATCCTCTTCTTTAGCACCGCCGATGGTTCAACGCTTTGTTGAGTCATTCCGCTCCACAGAAGGCTACGAGTTGACCGTGCTTTGCAAGAGTGGCAGTTTGCCTCACCCCTCCAGGGTTCAGTGGTACCGCGCTGAGGGAACCGGAGATTCTACCACCTTGATTCCTATTCATGTGAGTTGGCGGTATGTTTGGGATGGTTAATGACAGTCTTATGGTGGATTTTCAGCGGCGGTTGCGGTCATGCGGGGCCTATCTAAAATGCATTTACATTTGGAGGTGTTATATTTTTGGGACCAAGTATTAAGCCCTCTTCCACTTTCTTGTCCCTGACCTATAGACTGCTGAAATGACCCATATCCCTGGCGACACCCTCCGCTTTAAGGAGGTCAAAATGAGCGATAGCGGCGTCTATCTCTGCAACACTACCGTTGCTGTCGATGGATTCGTTGACTCCTCTGCAGCTGAAGTCAAAATCAAAAGTGAGTTTTTTTTCATCCCTTTATACTTTATCCTGAACTCACTTTTAACTATGCATTGGATTCATCACTGGTTTGGTAGTTGGTAGCCAAATTTTTTCGCCTTTTTCTCTCCATCTTTGCGGCAAATAACTTGGTGCGGTTTCCGCGATTTA